ATATATATATATACACACACACACAGAAACTCAATATTTAAATTTGTTGTCTAATAATTGGTACATTTATATACTTATATACTTTTATGTTCTATCCAAATTACTAGGCCATGTGTATTCTAATTAATATTACAGTCTAATCAATATTATAGTCAACATAATAGCTGTACGTGCTCCAAAAAATATCTTATTTAAGATAACTTTCAGACATCTTTTCAGAATCTTAAAAATGTCTTTTGATAAAATTTTGAAACATCTTTTAAATACGCGTATTATCTAAGAAACTAGTTGCCCGTGTCGGACAACAGTAGCAGATTTTTTTCTGAAGCATCTCAAGCTCTAGCGATCGCGTCACTTTGTAAGCGGCATTATCACAAAGGAAGTTTCGCTCTTGCAATCAGGCCACTTTCAGGGTAACGCTTTGCGACATATGTGTATCAAGGTGCTCTTGTTCAATGATCCCTTTTCGGTGTAGCTATACGTACTCTTTGTACGGGACGGTATCACGCGTCGGTAATAGAGAAACATTGAATCGCTTCCTTTCTAAAACCTTTGTTCACCTATATAAAGGAGAAGGCTTGGAAACGCAAAACAAATATGCCTGGCGAAATCATTTAGTGGAGTACTGGAAAATGTACGAAACATTTACTACGATCTTTGAATTCCATTCACGAATTTGCAGCGACGATCAACGAATGATGCGATACAATCCGCGTTGGTAATCGAAAAGTACGAAAAGCCAATTGTACCCCTTACTATATCGTATCGCTATTCTTTCTTTCCTTTCATCGAGACGTGAGAAAGCGAGCGATAAAAGAAAAGTTACTTATAGCGCTTCCTACAAATAGCAAAGTTCTATTTCGCGTTGGATAAAACGTGGGATTAGGAAAAGCGAGGTGGGTTGCGTTACTATATAGCGAGGGAGTAGGAATATCTCTCCGGAGAGATCGATAGAAGTTCCAGTTGATCGAGCATTTTGCATCGACTGTCGCGGCAGGCAACACCGATGCATCGATGCTGAATCCGTTGTTGCTGGGCTTGGCAGCCATGGCGACCCTTTTGGCCCTGGCCGTTGCTGGAATTCTAGCGGCGCTCTATCGGAAGCACTCCACCGGCCGACCCGGAAGTCCAAAGCACGCTCCCATCGTATGCGAGCCGCCTAATGCAGGTGCAACCACCCCGGTGCACCCTCAGACCAAGCAGGCGGTCGATGACATCGATCCGGACATCATACCTAACGAGTATGGTAAGTTCGTCAGTATTTCGTTGGAAATGGCTTGCATGAATTGTGTATATTGGCTCTTTTTTTATGTCGACGAGAAACTAGCTAGGCTATCACATATGCATTATTTTTCAATTTTATCGAAATCACTGGGAGAAAATAGAAGTGAAATGATAATAATAATAATAATAATAATAATATTTGATATTAATTTTTTCCGAAGAAATATAAAATTACTAAAATTATCTATATATATATATACGACAAATTTCAATAAGTTTCTAAACTTCAATTATAAGATAAAATATTAACTATACTTTTAATTTTTAAAACGCATGGTATAGATGAATGTAAATATATCTTATTTTAATTGTTTGTTTTCATAATACTACATTTTTGTAATAAATAAAATAAATATCTCAATATGTTCTTGATAAGAGATAATTAAACAAATATTGTAGTAAAGAATTCTATGAAAATATCGTTGGCTGTAATTATTTTTGCAGACTTCGAAAAAGAGATGCAGTAGTACGAGCAATAACGACAGTATGTTTAATATTAAATTAAATTAAACAAATAGTTGATTTAAAAATTTAAATCAACATTACTATATATATAAATATTTTTCCCATTTTCTCCAATAAATTCATATTATATTATCTATAAATTTCTTGTAAGCTGAATCGTAGTCTATTAATCTTTATGTATGCATAAATGTAATATAGTTAGATTATTAGCAGCATATAGAAATATTACATCGACATTCAATAGTCAATATTTTATAATTTACGTTCGACTTCGTTTGTGAATTATATATGAATCTTTCAGCCTGCCAATAATAATTCAACTGAGCTCTTTGTATAATTAACTTTGTAATTGTATCAAATTAAGAACTTCCATAAAATATTCTCGAAAGAGATAAACAAATGGCTGATAAATATGTACTTTCGAAAAAATATTCTAAATCTGTGTGAATATGAATATAATAAATCTCTTCTATCTGACATCATTTTCCAAGTGTATAATAATAAACACGTAATGTTAGTTTTTGTACTTATAGCAAACGAGTCCATGAAACAAATTTCTCATTTAAATTCATTTCAGCGCGATGTTACTTTTTCCATGAAAATACATTTCCATTTGCGATATTAATACGCGAACTACGTCGCAGCGAGCGAACTACGTGAATAATGATAATGTCGGGAAATGAAGTTGGATTGAAATACTTAAAAATCGAGAGATCTCTCGTAAATTTCGCCTTTCGTAATGAAAGTTTCATCGATAGAATAGTGCAAATTCTTGCAGGGTTTTTTTTAAACACAATTTCCACCTTTCTCGAAAAAAAAAAGATGAAAGAAACCATAATTACGAATCAGTCGTGAAGCTTATGTTTTTTCACATTTACAAGAGATAAAGTACTTATAAAAAAAAAATGGCTGCTCCTTTCTCCTGATTTAATCGACTAAGCGGCTTAGTCGTTCGGTCTCTGCATGGCTTCCGTAAATCTGTCCGCAGAGAGAAGACCCCTAACATATACCCCCGTCTATAAGACACCGCCACAACGAAGAAAGAAAGATCGCGCCACCGATGAAGATGCCTCGCCAGAGAAAAGGCCGATCGTTCAGCACGGTCTGGATCTGCCTCCGGATCCGATGTTGACTGACTGTCTGCCAACGCCTACCATAAATTATCCGCAAAATCACGTGTCTCAGCAAAGCGCTTACAATCATCCGCCCACGATGGCTGATTTTAAGCAGATGGCGATGGACGCCTACAATCAGCGTAACAACCAAAACGTAAGTAATTATAATATAATATTGCATCTTATTTTATTATTTTTTTCGTCATTAATCCATAAGTATTATTTAAATTATAAAAAATTAATTCTTCATTAAGGAAGAAATCCATGATAACTATGATTTAAGGAAAATGTAATTATATTAAGATTAGAAAGTGAATTCAATATGACTAATATTATAATATTTGCGTTACAAATAACACTTATTTAATAATCTAACAAAATTTTGAACGAGAAGACTTTTTAATATTTTCGCGCAAATTAGTGCAAATTAGAGCAAGGAGGAACAAGGAAAAAGTAGGTCGAATGTTCGAGTGCATCAAATAAGCGCTGCATTTTTTATTTTTAATGTCTGATTTGATCTTCGTTGAAATATTGCGTCTAACTTCCGCAAAGCAAAATCAGAAAGGCTGTTTTAAATATTAGAAGCTCGAAGCAAAGTGATGGGAAGTTAGTCAAGAGGAGGAATCGGTTGCTTCAATATGCGGCAGTCTCCCACTTTAACTTTTCCGGTTTAGCAAGATCTTGAGTTATCTGCGCTTTCGTAAGTTTAATTACGTCGAAGTTTTCTCGATAATTTGACGAGGTCAGTCCCGATGTGCGTAACTCGTCTTCGTATTCTGCTGTTCTTCTTCAACGGTTGCTTTCTAGATAGCGATTACTTTAAATGGCTAAATTAATTGTGCCATATTTAAAAAATACGCGATGAGAAATAAAAATTTATTAATCAATAATTGGTTCATCGATTTGTTAAATTAATAATTGGTACTAATAAAATAATACACAATGTCCAAAATTTATTAAAATTATCATCGAATAATAACAACTTTATAAAATATATATTATATTAAGCCATCATGGAACAAAAAGAATATAAAAAGACAGATGACACTTTGTCTTTTTTAAAAACTTATTCATAGAAATGAAAGTTTATGGCAGTTTTTCTGGACGGAATCAGCACATGTCATTTGCTTTCACATAATTTTCATTAATTTGAAATCTCTTTTGTACATGTATAATCAGCGAAAGGATTAAATTCAATATATTAAAATCTTTTGACGAATACGCGCTTAATACTATTTTCGTACATTAAAGCGAATGTACTGCATAACACATATATCTTTTTTTTAATCAATAAAATAGTCTGATAAATGTCGGACGTGATTCCTGCTTTCAGATATATTATAGCCTTCAGAGGACGAGCAAAGGACTCTCATCGATGCCTCAGAGGCCCGTTTCATCGTCGATCTCCGCGCAAGGCAAATTCCATCAACCTGAAGTGGTGACACGCTCGAATCGGATACAGGAGAGCTGTATATAAGTTCGAAGGGTTTCCCTGCGGGATCAACCTCGTGAGCTTCTAAGATGCCGCCGGCGATTATATTTACACGTGTAAATGTAACGAGTAGGAGCGGAGAGCAGCGTAGAGATCCGTGGATCCCCGAGACGCGAGCACGAAGTCTAACGCGGTATCTTCCCATAATTAGTACACGAGTTTCGAACCACTCCGCGAAACACACTTAACGTTTACTGTACAAAACCATAGAGAGGCTGATGGTGTGTTCCAGATCGTATTGATGGGAACGCGGTCTCTTCTCGAGATTACATTATGTCGATGCCGCCGGGGACGGCGCTACATTTTCATATATAATTTTACGGGGAAGACGAGGTGAAATGACATTAGCAAGTTAGAGAGGTACCCGTACATGTCCAAAAATATTTCTTTACTGCCATACTGAGGTATAAACGGTATATCGTAACGTACAAAGAGTCTAACCCCCCTAAAAGTAGTTAATGTCAATAAGGGAAATGAGGCTGGGTCAAAGCGAGCTGAAGAAAATTTTAATGGCGCTTTATATTTTATTCATATACTTCCAATTTTCAAGTCGCGCATGACGCGAAAAATGACGTCTTTATATATAGATCTTAACATATTAATTCTTTTGAAACTTTTACAATCTATTAAAATTACTTTCAAGTAGATGCCCTTACAGCAATTGTAAGGCAATACGATCGAGAATATTATTTTTTCGATCAAAGCTTATTCTCCAGCCTTATCCTTAAAATACTAACGATATTAATGTGATCGTATTCGAAGCTCATCACTGCTCATGTTTTTCGTACGCAAAATTTTTATAACAACTCAGACAGAAAATAAATTCGTTCAAAAGACTTCGCCGAACTCGAGAGAATTTCTTAAGGAGCGACGTCTTCGTTCCCGATCACTGATGCGGCACACGAACGTGGATTTTACTGTTTATATGGAACTAGTTTTTGTACAAAGATCTATTGTAAATAGACACGAACCTGGCCCTAGAATTATAGTCACTAATGTCCGAATTTCATCCGTTACACATCCGTTAAGTCAAGAGATGTCCGATCGCGTAAGATAAAACTCGATGGCATACGAATACGAATAAAGAGAATACGTTTCATCTGTTTTACACAACAAGCTCATTTTTTTATCTTTCCTTACTTGATCTTACATACTCCTCTCCATTAAGAACGAATGGCATGAGAAGGTAAAATTTCTATGGTACGTGAGACGAATTTATTCGCGCAACGTACATACTTGTGTTACGCTTCCATTATACTTTTCCATTTCGAACGTGAACGAAATTTTTGTGCTTGAATTTAACAACGTGGGCGTACATGTTACACAATACGTACTTAATACGATATTACCCGATACATATATCTCCATTTCCTGTTGTACTTAATGATGTAAAATACCCATCAATTATTTTGCCATTCTACTGAAAGAGCTCAGTTTTTCTTTATTAACGAGAATATTTGTGAATCACTACTATTTTAAGAGAATATATTTTGATTATAAGAATTTTATAAATTTTATTTTATCATTTTAACTTGATTTGCATCTTCATTTCTTAGGTAAGTACTTTCAGACTTCTAATAGACTTTCTAATATATTTACATAAGCATGATAGGCATGAATAATTACGGAAGATAGTAGCATTTAATAACAGTTGAAAATGTAAATGTTTAATGCCATGTCTTGGTATACCAAGACGTGTCGACATCGCAATATGGGAGAGAAGCAATATATTTCGCAAAAAGAAAATTGCCACAGGCGAGACGTATCGCACCATTTCCTCGAGATAAACGCGCCGCGCGAGATGGCTGAAGTGCTTTAAGGAAAACAGATCGTCGCGCCTCTCCATTAGCTTCGAAGAGAGCTAGCAAAAGCGTCCTGACAGCTAGGTGAGCATCCTATTGGACGAAGAACAGTAATTCGAGCATTTCGGGGGAATACGAGGACGCGCTACAGTGTTTGCATACATTGTGCATTCTCGGTCTTGCTAACAAGGACTAACCCAGGTTGCCGGAGTAACCTATTATTCTATGTGCCATCCGTGTCTCCAGGGCTGTTAAGACGACCTATTCCGCTCCTAACGCTGTCGTAGTTATCCCCCCCCCCCCATCAGACTGTCACCCATTCCGGCTGCGAATTGCGAGACATAATTACGATTCACCCAGGCATCATAATCGAATGATATCGCAATACGTGCAGATGGAACGGTCAATGATCGCACATCGTACCTCATGGTATTCAATCGACTAATGTTCTGATTGAATCACAAATCCACAATCTAGTCCACACTATTTCCCCTATTATAATACTGATTTGTGAGAAGATGTCAGTTTTATTTTGATGCTTCTTTTTTTTGTGAAATTAACATTGTTATTTTTCTTCAATCAAAGCTCTTTATAGTCAGCTCTTTATAATCAATGCAATAATTTATTAAGAGGAACAGATTCCATTTATTTTGTAGACAAAAAATATTATTAATATTTGTTTGTTTATAATTCGTCCTAGCTACAATTTGTAATATGTTTATCATCAATTATAATCACAAAAACAAAATATTAAGACTTAAAAAAATTTGTAAAAAAAATGATATTAATAGTAAAGTGTTTGTCATTTTTGCAAGAGGAAAAGGTACTACAAAATTTGAAAAATAATCGAATCGTGAAACAACACGCTCAATTAGTTATAAAAATCATTTCTGAGTTCGGCATGATAATCCCGCAAAATGATTCCGATTCACTAATTGATTCTATTTTTCATCGTCGAAGATTCTATATCTCGGTTGAGTTT